CTTTGTCAACGTACAGTCGCTACCGGTACATTCTCTACTGAACTCTACCCTTACGTCCTTCTACATTCCCTCTTTCTCTTTCACAAACTTGCCATCTGTTTCTCTTAATTAATTCGTTTTCCTGAAATGTTATTTTTCTACGCATAAATAGGGAGGTTGATAGAAATTTTTACCTCTGTAAGTTTGCCTTGTGCATCTCCAGTGGAATACCATATCATGCTTCTTTTGTGTAATTCTTATGTTTACCCATAATTAAATCCTCTAGATGAATGTCCCACCGTCGTTCCCCATGCCACAGGCGTCCAACTACCAGAGCGATCCAGAAAAGGTAGCCTCTACATCGGTATTGGATACTTCAAATCTTACTTTTTTTAGATGAACGCCGCCATTACATATCTGGAAGTGAAGGCAATGGATGCGAAGAAAATAGTTGAAGAGTTGCTTTATATGCTTGATATGCAGGAGAAGGTTCCTTGGTTGGTTACTAACGTTCTTTTTCTCCTTGAAAGATGAGCTAGATTAAGAAATTTATTTGGCGTAACGTTTTAGGCCTGACATGCTGGATAAGTTTTCCTCTCTAGCCGCGGCCATGTCACAACTTCAGGGAGCATTGAAGAAAAGTGCTATTCAGTCAGGTAATGAGAATCCATCCATTTCTTACAAACGGACCGGCATAAGTCAGGTTCTTAGGTCACGAAGATCATGGAGCTCTACTAAGAAGTCACGTTCTTGTACCACAGCGGCTCCAGCTTGAGCCAGATCAGCAGTTGCAAGTGGGCAAATTTGCACTGTTTGGACTATTTCAAAATCTCAAATTCAATATAGTGTTGGAGCTAAACCCTAGTTTAGGTTTATCATATCTAAATACCCTCTTTTTTTAATCATCTTTTCTTTTTTCTTCACTTTTTTCTCAAAACTGTCTTTTATATTTTTTTGTGTAAATGAGAATGCATTCAAAGAAAAATCCATCCAGAACCTCACCTCTTATCGCGTGCACTCGTGGAATCACGATGTTGTCCCGGACTATCTGCGCACGAAACTCAATCCCGAAATGGAATCTGAAGAAATGGTTTTGGAACAGGATAAAAATCAAAAGGGTAAGTGGATTTTGTTTTATTTTTTTCTCTAACTTCCAGCTCTGCACGTTTTGATGGATAACCCACAGTGCTAGGCTTTTTACCGTCCTATTCTACCCTA